CCGAGTGTCCCAAAATCTCTTGGCAGCCTCAACCTATGCTACAACTCCTCAATTTCATTGCTATTAAACAGGGAGCCTGCGTACGTTGTACTAGCATCTAATTCTGAGGACACCTCTGTATCCTTTTTGCACGTTCGCGCATTGTGCCTAGTCCTACTGCAGTTCCTACAGCGCTGAAGAGCTGGTTGGGCTAGTTCTTGACCACTACCACCACGAGCCTTCTTGGATTGCTGAGGCGCTATAGATGCCTTAGCAGCTACCTGCGCTGCAGCAGTCCCATACTCCATAGTACCACCCTGCTGAATCCGCTTGCGCTTACGCGATTTTCGCTTAGTCATCTCTGCTAATTGCTCTTCAAGCTTATAGATCCGAGCACGTTGAAGCGCATTTTCATGCAGCATCAGCTCACCACCTTTTATAAGCTGGGAGAAACCAGCCTAAGCTGTAATAGGTAAGCAAGTAAAGGAATTGCATACAAGCTTTAATTAAGATCTAAACTTATAGGTATTGCTTAGAGTCTTTAACTGCTATAGCGTCTCTAGGAGGAGGGGTTCTAGCAGGGTACGCAGCCACACTTTAAGGTAATCTAATACAACCTGCGCGTTAATTAGGACTAGCCCTGCTGCCTTAAAAGCCTTTTAATAGTTCTACTCTATAAACACATTAAAAAACACATCCTTAAAGGCAGGGAGGAAGCCTTCTTTGTTAATATAGAAGACGCGTTGGCGTGCCAAGTCTCTAACGTGCTGGGAGTACCTGCGCTTTAGTGGCAAGAAGCAGACCACATCAAGCGGCTGGAGGATGTGCGATGAATAGGGGGGCATACAGAGGGTTAGGATCTTGTGTTTAAGGCAGTAGTCCTTAAAATGCTAGTTAAGGTGGCTCTTATAGCTGTCTAAAATAAGCAGCTAGTACCCCCCTACCTAGCGCGTCTTTGTATGCGCGTTAAAGTGCTTTAACCACTCTAGACTAAGCGTGTTGTTTGTCTAGCTATTCTTAGAGACTAAGAGCTTCTAATTACGCGGTATTAAAGCCTCCTCATACCAGGCAGAGATGTAGACGCGTCCCTTGTAGATAATGAAGGGCGGGGTCGCGTACCCAGCAGCGCAGATGCTCTGGATAACTGTAACCCACTCGCGATCACCTGGCTGAACAAGCGCAGGTCGGGCGCGTCTCTCTGCACCTGTGATGACCTTTATAGAGCTAATCACGCCTATCTAGAAGCTAGTCTTATTAAAGTTGTGCACATTATTATTGTGGACGCTATACTTAGCTTTAGTCTCCTCTACTAGCTTAAACTATGCGCTAATTATCTCTAGATCCTCCTAGAGTATTCTCTGCCTATCCTTTGCTTAATTAAAGGCTATTTTGAGCTCAGGCGAGCGCGTTACAAAGCGATCAGCCTAGCACTTGCTAATAGGCTTGCTACCGCGTACAGCTAGCAGTTTATCAGCCATATCTGCCACCTCGCACAGCTAGGGCGCAAATCCTCGCAAGTTAAGGTCAAGTATGTATTAGATAATTGTCTGCTGTTCAGTCGCAGTGAGCTTCTAGCAGTTAGGGGCAGCTTCTGCGCGAAATGTAAGTCCTTAGACGCAACAAGAGAGTGTACAGCGATTAACGTTAAATGCCTCTGCAGCAGCCTAGTGGCTTTAGAATTGTCTAGATTTCAAGGCTTTAATAGCAAGCTAAAGCCTCCCTTTATGTTTAAGTAATAACGTGTTTAGTAGTTGAGGCATGTTAGAGAGAGAGAGTAGGTAGAGGGCTTGGCAAGTTTTGGGACACTCGGTGATGTGGGACACTCGGTGATAGTTTAGGTTAATTAGAAAGTAGAAAGGGCAAGATTAATTCTACCCTCTTGTTTAGATAATTACGCATCTTGTTAGCGAGGCATTACGTGTTAATATTAATAGTTGTGGTCTTGGCAAGAAATGGCCCGGGTGCTGGGTTGGCCCGGGTGCTGGGGGTTTACGTTAAAGGGTAGGCTATTCTACCCTTTATTATCTTCTAGGGCTATAACTACCTCTTAAACTAGTACAAAGAGGATAATCTACCCTATAATTAGGTTATTAGGGTCTCTAAGAATAGCTAGACTACTAATAAACTTAGTCTTAACTAGGTAAAGCACTTTAATGTATATATAAAGGAGTGTACTATTAGTAGCTACTATCTACTAGTTATTAATAGTTATAAGAGCTATAACTTACTAGATTTCTAGGAATACTACAAGGATAACAAGATTATTACTCTATGTATGCCTCTACACTTATTGCATCTCCTGCAGCTACTTAATATAGGCTGTTTTACCCCTCTAAAGAAGGCATATAGGCGCTAAGCTAAAGACCTTATACACAACTAGATTAACTATATTATAAGGCTTAAGTTCCTACTATACTTTAAAGTAGCCTATAATGCTGTATTTACCTTAAGCAATATCTAAGAAGGGTTTAAAGGCGCTAGACTAGTCCTCTTTAACCTAGAATAGGTTATAATAGGGCTTAACATAAAGCTATAACGTACCTCACAGGCGAGTGGCCGGCCCGGGCGAGTGACCGGATTTTGCCAAGACCACACCAAACTTCAACTTCTCTTGCATATTACAGCAAGTTACTGCAAGTTACTGTAACTTACAGTATACAGCACTAATCTACAGTATCTTGCACATCTTTTATGCACGTTCGCGCGTTGTGCCCTGCCTTACTACACCTGCTACAGCGTTGTAAAGACTAAGTGTGTCAGATGCTCGTACTGTGAGCCAGAGTATGTGCTTAACGAGATCTTAGGTGGTATGGTGATATATTGATGATCGTGGCGATGGTGTTGCCGTGGCGTCGTGCTCGTTGCTACAGGATTGAAGTGGGGGGGGGAATTAGCGCTGTTCGCGGCCGCCGGTGTGCGGGCCAATCAGGAGTTGCCAGGTCTCGCTTAATCGACCTGGCAACTGCTGATTGGCTGCACGACAGGTCCCTGCTCGATTGCGCAGATCCGACCTCTCGCCGCTCGCTATTATCTGACAAAGTGCCTGGTTTAACGTGCCTCTTCTTGCTTGCCTTCTTCCTATCATCACAGGCTTTAAACTCCTTTAGGGTAGTTAAGCGCACTCCTTTACTAACAGTAAGAGTCCCCTCCCTCTAGATCTGCTTCCTCTTGTGTGATTTACAGCGTGTAGCAGCCTCATTAGCAGCTTAAAGCTCTGCGACCTAGTTGCGCACTAAAACTAGTAAATGCGCCATCATCTCTGCGCCCTTAGTAAGCTAATTAAGAGCATTAACTATTAAAGTTAGAGAGCTATTGCTATATTGTTAAATCCTCTCTTTAATAAGCTTTAATTGCAACCTAAATTCTAGGGTGTTCTGTGGGGTTTAAGAGTGCCACGTACTCTTATCTATAGTAGGTAGTGGTAGAGTACACAGGCGCACTTTAAGCTTTAATATTACAGCCTCTAGATTAAAGGGGACTAAGCCAGCACCTCTAAATCCTCCCTAGATATTGCTTCTAGTAATAGAGGCATTAAAAGCTCCTTTAAAGCATAGTAAAAACTCAAGTTTTGTAATGCAAGTAATCTTGTTGCGCATTAGCAGCTTAGCTTAGCAACCATAGGCCTTCTTTATTAGGGCAAAACAACCCACGTTAAGCAGCTGCAATAGGTGCAATAAGTGTGGAGGCATACATAAGGTAACAATCTTGTGTTCTTTATAGTACTAGTAGAACTTAACTAAATTGTAGCTCTTATAGCCGTCTAGAATAAGCAGCTAATAGCTGCTAATAGTGCGCTCCTTTGTGTGCTTATTAAAGTGCTTTAGCTACTTAATACTAAGCTTGTTATTAGTCTAGCTATTCTTAGAGATAGTAATAACCTAGTTGTAAGGTAAAGACAGCTCCTTGTACTAGGTAGAGAGGTAGTGCTTGCCTTAGAAGATAATAAAGGGTAGGATACTCTATCCTAACATATTAATACCCTAGATAATGCTAGTCTACTCTTAGTTGCCCTGCTGTACTATCTTTAGTCTTCTACAACGCTCTAAGCCTGTAACAACAGCTCCTGTTAATATAGCACCTATTATAAACCTAGACTTATTAAAATTATAGGTGTCTTTATCTAGGATACTATACTTAGCTTTAGTATTCTCTACTAGGCAGAACTAGCCCTAGATCACCTCAGGATCCTCGCAGAGGGCTCTCTTGTAGTCGTACTTTTGATTAAACTTGACTGTGAGCTCTAGGCGACGCTTAACGAACGTGCTAGCCTAGTTCTTGCTAACAGGAGGCTAGTGGCGCTTAGTGAGTAGAGAGTTAGCCATATCCTCTATATCAGTAAGCCAGGGTGGGTATCCTCACTTGTCTAGCTTCAGAACATGCTGCACAATCACCTCCTCTTTAGTGCTTGTTAGCTTTATTAAGTTAACCTTATAATTACGTCTTAAGAGCGTTCTAGCATGTTATTATCTTAGTATTCTTTCTAACACCTTATAGATTATTACAGCGTGTAGAATAGTAAGAGTTGCGTCTTGTTTAAGAGCCTAGATTACAAGCTGTATATCTAGTTCCTTTAAGACGCTTTAAGCCTTTTTGCGTTGAGACATCGCGGGTTGTATGAAGTTTAGTGTGGTCTTGGCAAAATCCGGACACTCGCCCGGGCCGGCCACTCGCCCGTGAGGTACGTTACACTCTATTACTATAACTCCCTAATAATAATAAGCCCTAGCAGTTGTAAACCCCTAGTAATACCCTAGAACTTTAGTTGCAATTAACTCTAATCTAAGAGAAGTATAAGAAGTAGTAGGGTAGCTCACCTAATTCTGTGCTGAGCGCGCTTGAGCACTACGCAAAGGGGGGAGCAATTCTATTGCACAAGCTAGTTTTAGCGCAACAGGAGAACGCTGAGCTTCACGCAGCTCTAGCAGCTGCCACAGAACGTAAATCGCGCAAAAGAAAGCAAATCTAGAAGGAACATCAGGAAAAGTTTTTCTGTTGTCGAAATTAGGAAATTGTGGCATTATACTATAGGCAACAGTAGGACTTGTAGGCCTACAATAGTTATTTAATATGTATTTAATGTCTAGCTAATTTTAAGCTAACAGCTCTAACAGTCCTAATAGCTATAATAGCCACAACAACTCCTAGTCCTGCTACAATAGTAGCTCTGCTTAATAAACTATACTTTTATTATATTAATATACTACTAAGTCTCCTCTTTAAAATAAGCTATTAAACAATATTATAGGCCTATTTATAGAATAGTTATTAAGTGTAGAAGGTTTTAAGCTTAATGTTCCTTACTAAGATACTAAGTTAAGATTCTTTGCTAGGGCTCTAGCAGCCTGAATGTTAGAAAATACAAGAATATTATTCAAGAATAGTAGGTAAACCAAGAATTCTACGCCTAGGCCTGCCTGTGCTGCAGTGTGTGCTTGTTGGCAGGTGCTTTGTGGTGTGCTGTTGCAGCTGCAGCTGATACATTGTGTGCTGGCGCAGCTGCAGCTGCTGTGGTGTGCTGTCGTAACTTCAAAACACAAACCTTTAACAAACAAACCTTCAACGCTCTATAACTCGCGTTGTAGTAGGCCTACAACAATAATTTTTTGCTTATTTTGAAGCTACGATTTCGCTCTATCTGTACGTGAAATTTCGCAATTTTTAAATATTTAATACTAGTGCTAACGTAGATTATCACCGAGCCGGCCATATCACTGAACTAGCCACTTTCTCTTAGCACAACCACCTTTTACCCCAACATAACATGCCTTAATAATAACAACTTTAGAATACTACTAGAGAAGGCAGAGTTATTCTTGCTATCTAGGCCTTCTATGCTAGCCAATTTCGCAGTATCTGCAGCGCTGCTAGAGTGTTGAACGTACCTTATTAGCAGGTCTCTAATCGCCTTTGCAATATTATGTTTTAACTAGACATATATACTAATTACTAGAAACTTACTATACTAGAGGAGCAGACAATTATCTAGTATATACTTAACCTTAATTTGTAAGGATTTGCGCCCTAGCTATGTAAGGTGGTAGATATAGCTAATAAGATACTTAGTGTGCATAGTGAAGAGCCTGTTAGCAAACTATAGGCTAGCAGGCTTATAACGCGTTTAGACAAGCTTAAAATAGCCTTTAATTAAGCTAAGGATAGACAGAGGATACTATAGGAAGATCCTAAGATAATTAGC